TATCCTGTGTGGGGGACATTTCATATTTAAACCACAGCAAGTGGCGAGAAGGCAAGGGTCTGCTGGTTTGGGAACCTCTGAAGAGAGGCAAGCAGTAAATACTAAGGCTAAGCAAGAGGCTGGGGGTGTGGCTCAGACCGTGGAGCACTTGTTCTTTTAGCATTCACAAAGTTCTGGATTCAGTCCCCATCCAACACTGTATAAACTCTGTGTGGTGGTGCTTGTACATGTGGGAACCCAGTAGTTGAGAGCTGGAGGCAGGAGGATAGAAAATTGAAGGTCATTTTTGGCCACAAGAAATTTGAAGCGAGTCTTGGATTCATGAGATATTTTACAAAATTAAAAAATACAGGAAAAACAAGAAGAAAATCAGGTGTTGGGACTGCTGGTGCATACCTAAAAAAAACCTAGCCCTCCATAAGCTGAAGTAAGAATAATGTGTAGTTCCAGACCACCCGGGCTGCCCAATAAGACTTTCTCCACTGAAAAAGCTACAGAGGAGAAGGTAACCATATAGGTCAGATAGGTCAGAGCCATTCAAAATAAGCTGACTGACATGAGGGGAAGTTTCAAATTCCAAAGAGTAGGGGGTCCTTGGAGCCTTGAGGGGTGGGGGTAGGGATCATACTGTCTTCCATCTCTGATGGGAAACACCTGGAGAGCTTTAAGCACAAGCATGCTGGGGTCCTACTTTTATTTAAAAAGAGAGAAAAAAAAAACCAGCATCTTGTTACTGTGAAAGGGGGTTGGGTGGGGAGTGGTGCTTGTCTATAATCCAGCACTCAGGAGATGGAGACCAGAGGACCAGGAATTCAAGGCCATCCTTGGCTACATGAGACTCTTTCCCAAACAAAACTGGAGGGCCTAGGAATGTAGCACAGTGGGTAGAGTATCCTCCCAGTATGCAGGAGACCCCGGGTTGTATCTCCACCACTGCATGAAAGGCATGGTGGCTGGTGCCTGTAAACAGTATTTGGGAGATGAAGGCAAGAGGATCAGGAGCTTACGAGATCCTTCATCAAAAACAGAAAAAGAAATCAAAGGGGGCGCGAGCATTAGGGGAGTGGAATTTTACAGGTTGTGTGTGATCTAGGAATCTGAGTTGAAGTAGTACCATTGTATACTGAATAGATAGGAAGCAGGGGTCAAGGGTTCTTTTCTGGGCATGCCCAGTTGGTGATCCCTCTGGAAATCCAAGTCAGGGTATCAGGTAACCAGTAGATTCTGATGAGAGTAGTGACGAGGTCAGGGCTGGAAATACAAGTTTTAGTAACATCAGCATTCAGAAGACATTTAATGACACGGAATGGGATAACTTTGAAGGGTAATGTGGATAGGGTTATGACTCCGGTCAGGAATTTGGGAATGTCTAAGTCATCTCTATGAGGGGGAGTGGCCTGGGGGTAGGCAGAAAGGCAGACCCTCTCGCAGGGCAAAAGACGTGTTGGTTGGGTGTATGGCTCAGTGTACAGTACCTACTTAGAGTCCTCCAGTGAGGGGCTGGGGTGTGGCTCAGGGCTAGAGCATTTGCTAGCACAAAAGAAAGGAAAGGAGGAAGGATGGAAAGTACAGAATGTTTTAAGAAGGAGGAAGTCAGCCATCTGTACCCAGTGCTGCTGAGAGCTGGAGAAAGATCCGGAAGACTAGAAGGTTTATTAATGTGAACGGGGTGACAGGCTCAATGAGCAGTGACTGTAGTCCAGTTTCAGAGCTAGAATCCTTGATCCAGCATTGGGGGGAGGGGTGTGTGGGAAGGAGAGACAGAATCCAAGCAACTATTATTTTGGTATGAAAATGATACAGAGATGAGTGTAGTGGCCTATGCCTGTTATCCCAGAACTAAAGAAGCTGAGGCAGGAGGATCACCACAGTTCAAGGCATGCCTGAGCCTCAGAGAGAGAGATTTTCTTTAAACAATTAAAAAAAAAATACTTTAAAGAGGGTCAGTGAGATAGCACTTGCTGTCAAGTTTGACAACCTGAGTTCAGTCCTCACCCTGAGACCCACACGGTAGAAGGAAAGAACTGACCCTGCAGTTGCTTCTGACCTCCACATACGTGCCACATCACACATGTCCCTAGACCTCCACAAAAGAAGTACGTTTTTCATTTAAAAATAAAAAGGGAAAGTGGCAGAGAAGGAAAACATATAGGCAAAAAGACAGCAAATACACATGGGATTCCCACAGCTACTAAAGCAGATGGGACTGAGAAAAATGGGGAGATCCAGGGTCCAGAAGAAGCAGGGAGACCAGCTCAATAGCAGGCAGGAGAGAGGCCGGGGAGGCTGTGCTGCCCACTTTCCCGAGCCTGCTAATGACACTGTGTAGCTTGTTTAGAGAGCCCATCAAGCCCTAAGCGGATCCAGTGACATTTTCTTCATTCAGTAACGACAACTCAGTGCTCAGGAATGTCTTCTGAGGACCTGGAGATGCCAGTCCCCTGTCATTTCAAGACTGTGTCCACCTTGTCACAGAATGGGGGGTAGAAACAGAGCTAAGCATTCTGGTGGACTTCACAGACATTGAAGAGGGAAAGGCCATATCTTTCCTAGTCTGGGGGAGGGAGCTGTATGCATGCCGTCTCATTCATTCACCCACACTTCATTCATTCATGTTACCCAATTGCAGTGTTTAAGGCTTGTATTCTTGGCCTTGAAATGGATACTGAGAGGACCATGACCAGTTGGCCCAGTCTGATGGGAGAGTCACATACAGTCACCTCCAATGGTAGTATGGATTCCAACTAAAAAGTCCAGAGCAGGGCCAGCAGAGGTGGCATTCGTGTTCTAGGGGCCTGGTCATGGCACCTGATACACCTGGAGGAGCCACCTGGGGAAAGAAGGAGTTGGTAAAAGGTGGGTCCCACCTGGGTGGTCCACAGAAGGGCTGAGAGAGGGAGTGAGGGGTTAAGAATCAGGCCCTGCTGCCATGCCACATGGCTGACCCCTGTCTGGGTCTCTGACCCTGGGGGAGCTGAAACTATATGAAAGGCCCCCAGGGGGCACCCAGCCTAATAAATCCAATAAGGAAAATTGCTCTGCTTCATGTGTCCCAACACTCTAATTTCCCAGAATCTGTCTTTTCTACTTTCTGGGGGGCTGAGGACTTGAACACTGAAACTGATCTAATGACACAGGGCCCTCTTCCAGGCTTTGGAGTATAGGGTCAGACAACTCTAGAAATACAAGCCCTAGCTCTCCTTTCTCAGATCCTGGAGCTCCACTCCCCACCCCACCCCAACTCCCACTCCCCTGTCCAGACTGAAGGGTCAGGTTCCAATCCTTCTTCCAGACCCAGAGTCCAGGCCCCAGTCTCCTCCCGCAGACCTAGGAGTCCAGACCCGAGTCCTACTCTCTCAGGACCAGAAGCCTTATACTGAAGCTTTCCCCCCTCATACCCAGGAGTTCAGCCCTTCTCTCTGAAACCCTGAAACTACATACCCAGGCTCTCCTCCCTCAGACTCTAAGAATCCAGACCAAGCCCACCTCCTCCAATCCCAGAAGCCAGTATTCAAGCCCTTCAGACTCGAGTCCACCCCGCCCCCACCTCCATCCAGTACTTCTTCCAAGCTTCTGGACCTCAGAATCCAGCAATCCAGCTAGGGAGCTTCCAGCCTGGGCTGCTCAGGACAGAAACACAAGTTCTCTGTACTTCGCTGGCTCTATGAGATCCAGATTTTGGAGTATGGACTTTGCAACCCGGTCCCAGACCCTTGGAGAAACAAATCTCCCTCCGTTCGGCCTGTAGAAGACCCGGCCCCCCAGCCCCTCCTTCCTAGAGGCCTCCCTCCCCCGCCCCTTGTCCCCTTAAAATACCCGGATCCCTATGGCAACAGGCGCCTGCGACAGGTGCGAGTGTTATTTACGGGTCGAGCCCGAAATAGCCGGTGGGGTGAGGGGGTGGGCGGATGGGGCGAGGCAGGGAGCGAGCGCAGCAGGTCCGGAGGGCTGACTGGGTGGAGGCGAGCAAAGCCGGACGCTTCGGAGGCATCGCGGAGCTGGGGCCGGCGCGGCGCAGAGGCAGGAGAGCTCAAGGGACCCGTGCCCGGGAGACCCGGGTGGGAGGCCCAAAGGGAGCGAGGGACCCCGAGCTGAGTCTGGAGCCCTCCTGGCCGAGCAGGCCTTGGGAGCCCGGGGGAGGGGGAGCCGAGTGACTGCAGACAGACTGACTGAGAGTCCCTTTCCAAGTCCTGTGTCCCTCAAGGTACTTTGCCTTGGTTTTCTGAGCCAGAGTGTGGACCACAGTGCCTTGGTCTGAGCCCTGTCTTGACTACAGGCTTTTCTCCTGGGCCCTCGGAGAGTCCTCCAGCCTCTTTTTCTGGACCTCACTATGATTCTCAGCCACCGTGGGAGACCTGGGTTCTTTTCTGAGTAGTCCCTGGCTCATCCATACCCCCACGAATTCCAGTGGGGTCCCAGATTTGCTGTGAATACTGGAGGCTACTCCTTCCCTCTCTGGGACTTGGAGGGATTTCTAACTTTACCAGTGAAAGCCCAAGTCTAACTCTTGTATAGCCCAAAAGTGTTCTGAGTCCTCTTTTTTTCAAATTCTGAGCCCGAAGAAACCTAAACTATCTCTCAAACACACAAAAGACCTCAGTTCCCCTCTTTGGGAAAAACTCTGAGGCTTATGGGAGACTCCATCAGCAGCCTTTAGCAACTGGGCAAGTTTTCCCCCTTGGGCTCCTCCCTCAGTCTTCCTCTTGGGTAGGTAAACCTCAGAGTAGCCTAGCTTTTCTTCTAGGCCTCACCTGTGCCAAGTTCATGTACACAAGCCCGGTGGCATCCTTAGGCCAAGAATATAGCTTGCTTCTCTTCTTAGAGGTAGAGGCCTCCATTCTTGCATTTGGAGCTCAGCTTTTTTTCATTCCCAATCTAGTTGACACTGAGCCCACTACTTCCTTTGAAAGTCCAGGTCCTGCTCCCTGCCCCTTAGGCCTCTCTGCACAGGTTTTTCTGACTCCTTGAAGCTCGCCTGAGCTCCAGAGGATCCCATCATCATGATGTGGTCTAATTTCTTCATGCAAGAGGAAGACCGTCGCCGGACGGCTGTGGGCCGCCGTCGTGCCCAAGAACAGCAGAATCTCGGCTTGACTCCGGAGCGAGAGGGCAAGATCAAGCTGGGGTTGCTGGTGGCTATCGTGGGTGCCACTCTGGCTGTGCTGGCTGTGGGCACCGAGTTCTGGGTGGAACTCAATACATACAAGACCAATGGCAGCGCCGTCTGTGAGGCCGCCCATTTGGGGCTGTGGAAGGTGTGCATCAAGCGACTGTGGCAGGCGGACGTGCCCGCGGGCAGGGAGACCTGTGGCCCAGCTGAGCTGCCAGGAGGTGAGAGGCTGTGTTCTGAGCCCAGGCTTATGTCACACAGTCAGGGAGAAAGAAACTTTTGTCTGGGGAAACCTTGTTCTAGGAAAAAGAAAGTCTTATTCCCAAGAATGTTTGTGCCTGAATCAACCTGTGCTCACAGAAACTGGAGAGAAGGGGGTGGAGAGAGTGAGAGATGTTCAGGCATAGCTCATATCCCTAATTTGCATATCCCCTAAAGAAACTTGTTTCTTAAAAGTTTATCTTCTAGCTATGGCCTGTGCCCCAGACCAGCCTGTACCCCGAGAGACAGCCTGTGCTTCCAGACCCAGCTGGTACCCTCAGAACAGCCTGTATACACCCCCGCCAACCTGTATCCCCTAGAACTGCCTGAATTCCCCACCAGACAGCCATGCACCCACAGACAGCCTGTGCCCTTAACTAGAAGCCTGGAGACATCCCACATTCCCACTCTGTGAGCCTCTATGGAGACAGACCACCCTACGCCCACCCGGAAGTAAAAAAAATTCTGTGCTGAGTCCCTGTTTTCTGATACAATCAAATGAAGTTCTTACCAGGTGCCTCTCACAGTTCTGGGGGCACTTTGTACCTCCTTAGAACTGTTTATTTCCAGTCACTCTCTCTTTGACATGGTCGGGGCAAACATTACAGCCCTTCTCCCTTACCCTACAGACACTCCATACCCTTCATTACCCTACATGGTGGTTCCTTTGCTCTCAGCTGTGCCTCTCACTCTCTGAGAAAACATGCCCTGCCCTTTGCTTAGTGGGATATTCTACACTCCCCTGGGAACTGGATATGTGTTTATTTTATCTCTTTTGCCTCAAGGACAATTTTTGACACCAGTCAAACCCACTTTGATGAGATCTTTGTCATGCTGCTCCCCAACATGTACCCAGTACTCTCAGGACCCCTCAAGGAATATCCTTCACCCCCTCTGGGCTCTGGATGGATTTCTTTATCCCCCAGTCCCTAATTTTTCAGATGTGATATGGAGCCCAAAGTAAGATGTTCTAAGCCTTTGATAGCTAAGTGGAATGCCAGACCCTGTGGTTTGAACTACGTGTCTGTCCTGATCAGCTATCTTAAACAGTTCCCTTCTGCGGTTTCTCACTCTTTGAGACTTCAATCAAGATGATTCCAAACGTTTGCAAAGTCAGATAATGAAAACAAATATAAGATGCTAGCTGGGCCTGGTGGTACAATTCTGTACCCATAGATACTCAGGAGGCTGAGGCAGGAGGGTTGTGAGTTCAAGGGCAGCCTGGGATGCAGAGGGAGTTCAGAGACAGCCTGGGCAACTCTGGGAGATCCTCTCTCAAAACCAGAGCTGGGGACATATCTCAGTAGTAGACTACCTGCCTAAAATCCCTCAGAGAGGGGCTGAGGTGTGGCTCCGTGGTAGAGCATCTGCCTAGAGCCTCCCATTAAGGGGCTGGGAGTGTGGCTCAGAGCACCTGTCTAGAATTCCCCAGTGAGGGACTGGAGCATAGCTTAGTGATGGATTACCTCCATATCTGTTCTAGGGGGGAGAAAAATAAGGGGGAAGAACTCTTAGCTCCCAATCTATGCCTCAGGATAGCTCTATGGGGTTTGACTCTTAGGAATCTCTGTTCCTAAGAGCTATGCTTTACTGCATGTCACTAGTGCTTAAGAAGGTCTCAGTGGCCCTCACTCTTTGGAAGAGACTGTCTGTCCTCTGCCACTTTACTGTGTGCTTCCCCTTCTATTCCCTCTACTAGTCAGAAAAGACTTTACCACTGAGCATGATGGCACACACCAGCACTCAGAAGGCAGAAGCAGGAAAACCAGGAGTACAAAGCCAGCTCTGCTACATAGTTGTAAGCCAGACTAGGCTACTTATACCTTGTATCAGAAAAAAAGAAAA